ACCCGTGGAGGTGATTGACAACTAAGATTGTTGTGGAGGATACTGTCGGGAGTGATAGCGGTGATGAAGAGGATGATGGCGATGATGAACATTAGAAGGATGATGGTGTGAACCTCGGCTTAATTTCTCACTGTCGTTTTGATCGCCGGTAGACAGGAAGGTGGCATTTCATTCACAGCCATCGCCGAATGTATACTGGATGCGGTGTGCCGGATGCCGCAGACTTTATCCAGGTCACTGACCCGGCTAAAATTAAGTCTTGGGGGTAACTGATGATACAATTTAGATTTTCATAGCGTCGACATTATAGAGTTTATTGATTGATGCTGGTGTTAATGCATAGGGTGATGATGGATTAGATGTTGATTGATGGTGTGGAGGCTTATGTTGATGGTTACGTGTTTAAGTAATAAGTGTGGCGAGAATGGTTATGTAGACAGTGACTGTGATGATGGTGTAGGAGATGATGATGATGTTCAACATCGTAGAACAGTGACTTTACCGAAAGACCCAAAGAATATGAACTGTAGAACAGATCCGGGCCTCTGTGTGTTTGTCTCAAAAGCGGACATGCGGACACGGAACCCGGCTCTCAGTCGCCAAGGTTTCGCAGCACGATGAATGCACGTGGCGTGCTCTCGGATTTGAACTTCACTTCAATGTCCGTCCATCCACAGGCGTCCCCAAACTGCGGCGCTGCGGTGCCTCCTTGTGGCCACAGTCGGGAATGCAGAGGCCCTTCCCATCAGCAATGCGCAATTGTTAAGCCCTTTACTAACACTGGTCAACAACAAAAACACGTTTTTTTCTGGCCTGGACTTTTGCAGCTGTTTTAGACTAATTTCAGGGTGCTGATTCCAAATCTGATCTCAGATTTGCTCTATCACATCTCATTTTATGCTATCGGCATACCCCATTTTCATTGATTTTACCCGAAATTAACTCTGTCACTTATGATTGCAAGTTGTTGCGAGTCAGTGACTGCTTTAGTGTTAAAATATGGTGCTGTTTTTTTAGGATAGTGTGTTTATAATATAATTTTATGTAGATATACACATTTATTTAATATTTTTCTTCTGCAGTTTTTATTGAAAATGCAATATTTGATATCTCGAAAACCTGATGTGATAGACAAAAACTGATGCCAGATTTGGAATCAGCACCCCAAAATTATCTTAAAGCCGTTGGAATACCTTCTGCCAGAAAAAGTGTGTTGACCAGTGTAATATAACACAAAAAAGTGTGTTGACCAGTGTAATATAACACAAAAAAGTGTGTTGACCAGTGTAATATAACACAAAAAAGTGTGTTGACCAGTGTATAATCAACTGTTGGATGAGCGCATTTCAGAAACTGAGGGCCATACTTCACCACGCTCGCCAGTGCGGGTTGGTGAACCCATGGAGCATAGATGCTTGAATAAAGGTGATGATAATGAAGATGGGAGGGATAGCTACATTTTACAATGCAGTACAATGTTGACAAAGTCATGATTCGTGAGATGCGGCGTGAATGTCAAGAAAACGAGTGAGTAATAGTGGGGAGTTAACATATCGCGTTGATTTTCGCAGTCAATATTGGTAATTTATTATTGATATTTGCAACACCAAATATGCTACATTTGGTTGTGAGATTTGTTCAACTTAGCGGCGAGCTGAAACAACAATTGGTGCGTTTTAAACCCTTTTACACGTGGCAGTTTAATTAAACTTGGACTAAGTCGGGTGGCGGGCGGGTGTTACAACACACATCTGACCATTTTATTAAGTGGACAGTTGTTTACGAGATGTTCCATTGAGGATGTTCACCGCATTAGCGCTGTCGATGTGTTTGTTGCCTTGAATCTCAAGACGTGGGAGCTTAAACAATTAAGACAACTACGATATATCTTACAATGTATAAGCGCCCCACCATAATCATATCATCCGTTTTTGTAAAAAAAAAAATCTTATAATTTTTTTCCTGACAAAATATAAATACAATTGTAACATTCACATGTTTTAAATATAAAAACATGTCTAATTTATACTCTTTGGTTCTTTCGGTAAAGTCACGGAGGTAGAAATAAAATAAAACATATCACGACGCTTCGATCGCAACACAAGCGATCTTCATCAGGTGAGACAACCACAGCAAGAAAGAAGAAGTCGGCTTACTTCAGCATTTCCTTGCTGTGTTGCCATCGAAACGTCGTGATTTGTTTTATTTTATTAAATCCTTTACATTAAGTTCGCTTGCTTGCGTGCTTGCTTGCTTGCTTACGACCGTGCAAACCTTTCGGTCGTTTTTTAACCCACTTCCCGTGATCCAATCGAGCTGACATTTTGCACACATACTCGTTGTGCGAGACAATTAATGTTCGTGAAAAATTTTTTCCAAAATTTTACACTGTTTAGGGAAAACAAATTAAATATTTAATTACCAATTGTTTAATACTGCAGACAATCATCTGACCCATAGGTGGCAGCCATCTCAAGCCAGAGGACGAGAGGACTCTAGCCGCCACGCATATAAAGGATTTAGAGTGAAAAACTTTGTTTTTACTGGTTATACTTATTTCTACCTACGTGACTTTACCGAAAGAACCAACGAGTATGGATTCCTGCAGTCACGAAAGCTTCAAAACAAGATGTCTAATTTAGTGTCGAATATTTGGGCATGAATTGGATGGCCATGTGGTTTTTATATCAACATTTTCTGCCCATCTCTACCGGGGCCTTGACACTTCTTGTAGATCTTTGGTTCGTCGCTTTGCGTTTCTTGCTCGAGTCTTGGTTGTTTGTAGACGCGTTCCTTTTACACGCGGAATTTAGATTTGATTGCTAGCGGCGCTACGAACACCACTAAACAAAATCGGCCACAAGGGGCCACGTGTTGCAGTGAGAGGCAAAAACACACTACAGGGACTCTTCAACTTATGAACGAGTTCGGCTCCAGGTCTGTTCGCAAGTCCAACTTTACTCCTGTCGATTCCAAACATGTTGTTACGGCATGTACACTAAACACGGGGAATTACTTTTAAAGTTGTATAATCTTTTGTAGATGCCACCACCACCATCTATTGTGCGGCGGTTGAACTTACGACTCTCGGTTCGAACAGGCAACTGGACAGGTTTGTTCGTATCTCTGTAAGTTCGTAAGTCGATTGTTCGCACGTAAGAGTCCCTGTACACTACTGTATACTACCCGTTTTAATTTCCCCTTCAATGTTTACTTTCTTGGACCAAAATAAACCAATAAGGCTCTTTCTCCAATAATTGCCCCCTGTGAAAAAAAGTACTTCATATTCACTCGGTGCTAAGTGGAATGCAGTTCCCCGCAGGGCTTAATTACCCTTGTATTTTGTGGGTCACCGATACACTGGAGTAGGCACTTAACAGCCGCAGCCGTAACAAGCACGTACACGAGATGTGGCGTCCCAGTTGGAATGAAGCCCTGGTCGTCGCTACGAATAAGAATCTCGTTTCGTAACTCAAATAGTACGAACGCACACTGCGCCCTCGATATTACCAATCCGTTCTCCCATTTGCTCCAATCGTGTTGCTTCGCTTCCCACTACACGCAGTGACTAGGTGGTTGTGACAAGAGGGCCACTGGGTAATGCTGTTCAAACGAGCGACAGCTGTCCCAACGCGGCCGATGTAATTATTCGGCAATTTGCGCGGCACGAAAGCAGCAGAGAAGCACCTGGCCCGCAACTGTCGTGGCTTCCACCAGAACTTGAGTATCGTTATCGCTTTAGGAGGCATCGCCGGCCTTAAGTGAGTTTTCGAGCGGCAGTAGAGCCGCTTATACAAAGTAAAATCTGGAATGGGCAAAATACGCAACCCTCTGCTAATCTGCTCGTCGGCCTCTTATTCATATCGAGTAGTCAGCTGGAACGCATTCCTGCGGAGGGAGCTGGTAGGAACGTTGGGTTGCTCGGTCAATGGCCAGGGTCAACGGCGGCGTGGTGTATTCCGCAAATGACCCGAGGGCGGGCATAAGCACCACCCCTCCCACTCCCCACCCTCACCACCCAGCCCCTCCCATTTTGGTATGCACGACGGACAAAATAATCCCGTGGGCTGGTGTGACCAGGTTCCTACCAGTATTAAGGGAATTTTTACTTCAGATGTGAACCCCGGTGGTTTCATTCGATATTTGCAAATTGCCATCAAGTTCGAATAATTAAAACCCTCAATTGGCTTCCAACATGTGTTAACATTGGATATCGGTCTGTTTAACGGATCGAGTTTGGTCCCTGGTTGATTAGCTTGGCATCTGAAAATGTGCACCTTGGGCCCAGGAACGCATCTAAATCTGAACACGAAACGACTCCCACTAAAACATAAGATACGCAAGCTGGTCAAATTCATTATTCATGGAAGTCATTATTAAACATTGCCCCACGATGCGAAACCCCATACCTTCGTTCGGCGCATAAAAAACCCGCATACATATTAATAGCTTAACGACCAAACTCCACACGCGTTATTTACATTGCAAAAAGGTGTTTTTGCATGTTACTCATGGAACTTGCTCATGACGCCATCAAAACAAAATCACATTTACCAGGCGTTAAAAACTCCAAACTTTATTAACCGGTGCTCAAAAGTTGTTGGAACATTCATGCAGTTTTCAATAGAACACGGGGATGGCATACAAGCGAGTCCCAAAAAAGAAATCCTCATGTATTCGGTCGTTTCTTAGATGCCTCATTAGGCAGATACGACCCCCCAAGCACATGTAGCACCACAGACAAGCAAAAAAGGCAGTGAGAATTTCGAAACGCTAATTGCGGCTTTGCACGGCATTGTGGTGCGCAATATGAATACTAAACCATCTCAAAGCCAGCTGCACAGCTAACCATGTGGGCCCCCCAAAGGTGTCATTTGTTGCCCGCCTTCGTAAAAAAACTGTACACCAGCACAGTACTTTGATGTGGTGTTAATGTAAATTGGTCCGCTCGGACTTTTTGGAATGGCGTGCGCATGTGTATCAAGAGGAATAAAATGCAGTACGTGTGTATAGTTTTATTTAAATTTTCAAAACAAGCATAACACACACGGGCGAAAATATTTGCAGATGTACAAAATGCAGTCACGGTGTAGAGTTTTATTTCAATTTTCTAAACAAGCATAACACACATGGGCGAAAATATTTGCAGATGTACACTTGTGAAAAGCAAGTCCTACCTACAGTGCCAATCCAACCTAACACCCATCCCCCTCCTTCCCAGATATGCTTAAACGGTTGATCTTGCTCAATTTCAAGGGAGACCACTCGCCCAATTGTTTTCGTTATAGGTAGATGTTATCCATCCAACCAAAAGCAGCCTCATATGGCAATTCACACATGGGATGAAATCAATGATAGGCAACGATGCATTTAATCACAAATTGCAGTTTCAAGAAACAATTTCCAACTTTTAAACATTCGCATTAATTAAACCTAAAGCGAATGTTATTCCAGTGATATGCAAACCACTATCTGAAGTGCGCATTATACTTACATTGTGGTGGTTTACACAAGGATAACACTTGACACATTTTACCTGCTCCCAACAAGGTATTCAGCCACTGCAACACAAAAGTTAATCGCATGCTTTGCCCCATTACCATTCCTGCACACTCCGAAGTAAAAAACATCAAAACGCAAGATACAAGACGCATGTCCTTTCAGGATGTCTTCATGCTCAACGTTGCAAGCCAGAATGGGGTGCACACCACTCAGACGAAGTCTTGCATTTTGCGCTCTCCCTCCTCGCAGACCGCACGCCCACACTCCAGACCAGACGCCAGAGAATGTCGAGGGGAGAGTTTCGGTTCTTCACACCATGACGCGCACTCGCGCGCACACACCGCGCAAAGCAGGTATGCCACCACCCACGAGCCAGATCGGACAGAGCGGACAGGCTTTCCATCTCACGCTCGCTCGCCCTTCCCACACCACTCTTCTCTTCGCACTTCTCCAGAAAAACCAGGGCCCATCTTCCAACACACCGGACGACGACGCACGCCGCTCACGCCCCGTGCGCGCTCACACGCAGCCGCGCGCTCTCCAAAGTTGAGGACTCGGACTCTCTCCTCACTCGGACGTGACAGAAGATCAGCATTACCATTTTTGTTGTTTTCAAGGGTGGCGGCGGGCGTGAGTGGCGAAGGGTCTCGTGGGTGGCGCACGCACAGTTTGGTTCTTCGGAGACTTCGGCCATCAAAGGCAGGGCACAGCGGTCTGCGATTTCCGAAACTCCCAGTGGGGAAGGGGGGGAAGGAGGGGATCACAGGTCACACGTCCTATACCTTTTTGAGAAACAGCACTCAAGCAGATCATTGATATACAATCACAGACGGGAACAGTTTTATTTACAGACAGGAAAAATGTCACATTCGCAACGTAGTTTAACATTTAACACTCAAAAATAACGTCACCTGGAGGGAAACTACACTCCTGGCGGAAGTCGCCGCTTGTGAAAATTCTCATTAAATATTGTCTGCACTGTCTGCCAACAAAAAACGTACGCGACCATGCGGAAACTGTTTATACGTTTCAAAAAGAATCAGAACGCCAAATTACAATTTATTATAAAAAAAATCTTTCTACATTCAGCCGTTCCTATCAACCAAAACAAATTTCATATTAACATATTGGGACAAATGGTGGTGACAATCTACCCAGAAAATAACAGAACCTACCAAAATTTAGTGACAATAGAAAAACAAATGGGAAGGTAAAGGTTTGAGCACCAAATAAAAAAGACAATGTAAAGGGGGAAATGCCAACACAAAATTCACTATTTCCACACCACACACCTGCTTACAGGCAAGTCTCACAATGGTTGAGCCCACTCTTAGCCCAGCCAACTTATCAGGTGCAAGCTCAGTGGCTGCCTACAGCCAGCTGTTCTTGCCCAACCCATACGTGTTGCCACCATAAGCATTTCCTCCAGAACCCCCTCCACTACGCCCACTGCCACTGCCACCCCAGCCGCTTGTCTGCAGCGCCTGGGTCATGGCCGCTACCATGGCTGGCGTCAGATTGAGGCCGCCACCCGCGCCAGTGGCGCCCAGCGTCGACAGCGCGCTTAGCGCATTCATGTTGGCTTGTGCAGTCACGGCCGCTGCCGCTTGCGCCGCCGCGTTGAGACGGCTCGAGCGCTTCAGCTGGTTCTTGGGCTCGGCACTCGCAATGTGGACGCTGGCGCCCTTGACGATCACGTCCTGTCCACACAGAGACTGTGCCACCTGAAAAACAAGCGCGGTCGTTAGGCATCAACAATGTAACATTGCACCCCCACCCCCCGCCGAATGCAACCGTGATTTGTTAACGTTAGAGAACCCAAGGAAGACTAGAGGAAAGTAGCAATTGGGTGAAAGGTTTTCCACAATATTTACAGCAATGGAAAGTACAACACACCCACTCCAGTGATGGAAAAGATTATCCTAATCAGATCTCCAAATCCAAATAGGATTGCATCTTGAGAGCACAACAGGCGACCCACCGTATGCAAAAATGTGTTATAGGAGTCATGGGCGGGTAAAGAAAAAAAATGTTTTTCTGTACTTCACCCTCCCCACCTTGACCAGTGGTGCCGCTTGGTAAAAGACCAACGACCTAACGGCTTGGGGAAGCCCTCGTCCAGCAAAAGATTGACAAACAAGGTTGAAGGGGGGGGGTACACGCACAATGTGTGCAAGCAAGGTCCAGCTGAGGCAGTGCTCACATGCTCGTTGGCGAAGGTGACGAAGCCGAACGAGCGGAAAGGCTTGGGGATGTAGACATCGGTGACGTCTCCAAACTGGCCAAAGAACGAGCGCAGGTCCTCGGGTGTTATGTCCTCCGGGCATCGGCCCACGAAGATGCGATTACGGTCGGGGTCGGTTGGATACATCTGGGCATGCACGCACACATGCCCCAAGGGGCACCATAGTTATGTCAGCAGTTCAAATTGCGTTGTACATTTAACTATTTTAGCACAACTTGCAAAAATTGACGATGTAAAACGCAATGTACCTTGGACTGGGGTAGCTTGGCATCACACCAGCGGCCACCAATCATGTGTCGCATGCCCATGGCCTTCAGTTGCGATTCGTGGTCGGCAAATCGAACGAAGCCATAGCCTTTCGATTTTCCCGTTGCTGGATCCGTCTTTATCTGAACAAGACAAACCATCCAAGTTTAGTCGGCATCAGAGCAAACAATCCATAAGATTAAACATTTAAGTCAATATATATAACTCGCCATCCTCCTCAACGCACGTCACAACACCGCAAAGCTTTTATGTCGGCTCTACAAAAGCGCCAAACACGGGACTACGCCCAGCTGTAGAGGGTGCAAACCCCCATCCTCTCCCTGCTAATCTTTAAAGCCAGTGGGTGTGTGCGTGTGTGTACCTGAGAAAGAACAACACTGCCAAAAGCAGAGAAGTAATCTTTGAGTTCATCCTCCGTGGTTGTCCACGGCAGCCCCAGCACAACAAGATCGGAGACGCGGGGTTCCGACCGAAGCATCTTTGATGCGGAGGCCATGTCCACCTCCTCCATCTTCCGTTTGTTCTCTAGCCCGAGCACACACGGGTCTGAGAGTTTATTGGAAATGGAATCAGACTTCAGCAAAAAGGACACAGGGTCAATGCAACACACAATATCCCTTTTTACATGAGAATATAGTTAACGCAACCGTGACAAACTTGTACTTTTTACTACTTCGCTTTTATACATTAGATAAGTATTTTTTAGTCATAGGTTTAAATACATCTACTTTTGCTCCATGTAAAAAGGGGCTACTTTTATAACATGCAAAACTAGTTTACATATTTGACCAAAGTTCATTGCGAATGAACACGATGAATGTATTTAAACATTCAAAGTACAATTAAAATTATATTAACCGTTCCAACAATTAACAAAAGCAATAATTTAATCTCTATCCCACCCAAAAAAACACTGCTCCATTAAAAGTGCTAAACCTATAATGCGCAAACACGCGCGGTTAAATCAAAACTACAAGTAAAGTCACGTAGGTAAAAATAAATAGTAATAAATAATAGAAATAATAGTAGAAATAAAATAATAAATCACGTTTCGGAGGCAACACAAGTCTCCGTCATCAGGTGGGACAGTCACAGCTAAATTTACTGTATCAAGTCTAAAATTACTGTATCAAATCTAGAATTAAAACTACACGTTGTGAAGCGTGTGGACTTTGATAAAACACCGTGAATTTAAAGTTCCACAATCACCACCACCACTACTGCATCACCATTGCGGGAAAGTGGCCACCACGTGGTCATTCCACCCACTCCCCAACAAACCTCGCCGTTTCCACTCCCGCCATTTTACACAAGTTTCTCTTTTCTTTCCTCGCGCTACATCTACTAAAGTCACCTTAACCACCATCGGCAACGTTTAACGATAGACAATTACAGGGGCGCGGTCAGGGTTAAGGCGGGAAGGCTTCAACGCGCAAACCCAGGCCTCAAACTGCGCACGCTACAAAATGGCGGCGGCCGACACGAGAGACGCAACAAAAGGACAATAACAAATGCATCTACCTTTCGGGAAATTCACGTAGAACGTGTAGCTTGCCCAGCCGTTCTCGGGCGGGTGGAGTACGCCGTCCACGAGGCGCACGCCGCGGAAAGACTGCGCATCGGGCGGACGGTAACGCAGCCCCACGGCGCCTGGAAACTGCGCGGCCACGTTCGACACAAGAAGGGTGCCGTCATCCTCACAAGGCACCTCCACGGGCAGCTCGTTCTCGTCCTCGGCTATCTTAACGTACTCGCTCATGATTGTATTATGTGCGTGTTTCTTTTTTTTTACGTGTTATCTTAATTTCCTTTCACGGAGGTTACGGGAGAGAAAAGGTATCGCACGCTCGTCGTAAGATGGCGGAATGAGGGAGGGGGTCCTGTGCGCGTGCGTATTACGCGCGTGGGAGAGTTCATTCGACAGCCTTGTGGGGGTGTCCGTAATTAAAAGTTTATATTTTTTTATTAGCACGCGCCCATAATGTTCGCTAATTTTAAAAAAAAAACAGCTATAATAGATATATTCCACTAATATAAAATTACTACGGTTGGATAACTCTTAAAATAGATTTGTTTATGTTTATCTTAATTGTCTTGCCTTCACCACCCCCCCCCCCTCTTACTTACTTTTGGTCGATGCTAGCTCGTTGACGAAATGGCGACGACTACGCGCATGCGCACTGAGCTCCCCCCGGCACCCATTGTGCTGAGAATTGTAGGCTTCACTTTGAACGTACATTTGTGTAGGCCAAACCTAAAAAAAAAATGTGACTTAAAACTAAATGAATTAAATATTATAAATACAGGAGAGCTTTTTTGTTATACATTACAAATAATTCAGAGGCAATACCGTCCCAGCACATACGACAGTTGCTGTCCCAGCGATAAAGCACATCAACATCAGCAAACTCATCATCATCAGCAGCAATGGACAATCCAATGCTTGATGAATGTTTAGGCATGTAAATGCCACAATCCATGCGGTACCCGACACACATTAACTCATGGCATTGCTCCATCTCTGGCAGTGGATATAATCTCAGGCGTGGTCGCTCTTTTCCATTGCTAATTATAGTACTGAAGTATATTATGTTTCAGTTGCGAGAAACATCACAAGGACGAGTCGCTTGCACTCTTGAGACATCCTTCTGTACAGGACGCTGTGTCAAAAAGACATTAAAAATATATAAGAACCCTTTAAAGAAGGGAACAGCTCGGCAACCACCACCTCACTGCCATCTGCGAGTTTCAAAACAACCATTTACATTCCTGTCAACCCCTCTGCCTCACTTATTACAGACCAATTCAGACTTGATTGGTCTTATACATCTCAACATTAATTCTACAGAGTCCCATCACAAGGGAGAAACACAAACAAAAAAGACTAACTATTAATTAGCCCGTGTTGAAACGGCTGTACGCCATATGGACCTGAAAACTAAATTTCCCTGAACAAGAATACGGGGTAAACCATATGGGTTTGACAGACATGCATTTAGCCAATACTAAATATCTAAATATCTCAAAAGTGTGTGTTGCGACAAGTTAAAGAGAAAGGGATCGCACACGATTCATCATTCATTGTGGCCAATCGGTGACAACTGAAGACAAATCTGTTGTAATTACTGGCGAAACGTCGTCCTGAGATGGTAAATGTAGTGGATTTGCTCTCCAACACACCGGTTAGTGCTGTACTAGTAACAAATTGGCACGTTCTGTTTACGTGACAAACCTTACTAATTGGCTGTGTTGGGTGGTGGCGGGCTTAACGACACATTCATATTTACAACATCTAACCCAAAAAAAACTATTATGGACTACAAACACAGCTGCGGTTGTTAGATGGCACCAAACACTGCCAGGTCAAGCAAGCATTTCTCTGATATGTCAGCTTTGCCATGTCTTTTGCTCGTATTATATCTTGGCGTGTGGCGATTACATCGCGACCAAGGCTCTACAGTTTCACAACATTTTCAGCAAACTGAAGAATTCAGATTTGTTCTAGATTTGAAGTTTTCGTGACTGCAAGAATCCATACTCTTTGGTTTTTTCGGTAAGGTCACGTAGGTGAAAATAAAATAAAATTCAGATTTGCTTGCATCAATTCACAGGCAAGTAAGCTTGGATGCAAAGGAGGGCGACTTTACATTAATTTGCTTCCTTACACTTTCCCAGCGATCTTTTGTTGAGATCACTACGTAATTTGAAAGTCCAATACCTTAAAGCTTACGTTTGATAGGGCCATGCGAATAACCAACGAGTTAATTTCCTCTCGTTATTCTTCTTATCAAAAAATCTTGCGGATAATAGGAGTTTAGACGGACCCTACTACTGCCGTGGGTAATAGGGGCCTCGGATAATATATATGTATTTGTATGGGACTATGGGTAGTCACTGGGACTTGATATTTTCTGTAGGAATGGGGTCGCAACATGACCAGAAGAGTTGAGTTTTACTGGTAGGAACCTCCTGGTTACACCAGCCCACAGGGGATTATTGTGTCCGTCCGTCGTGCAGGGAAGGGCTGGGTGGGGAGGGGCTGGGTGGAGAGGGGCTGGGTGGGGAGGGTGGGGCTGGGTGGGGGGTGGGAGGGGTGGGGCTGGGTGGGGAGGGGCTGGGTGGGGAGGGGCTGGGTAGGGAGGGTGGGGCTGGGTGGGGGATGGGAGGGGTGGGGCTGGGTGGGGAGGGGCTGGGTGTGGAGGGGCTGGGTGGGGAGGGTGGGGAGGGGCTGGGTGGGGTGGGGCTGGGTGGGAGGGGTGGGGCTGGGTGGGGAGGGGCTGGTCACCCCGTGGTGCCCTTATAAAACTCAACGTTTAACCTACTCACGCCGGCTTGTGCCCGCCCTCACTGTCGGGCATATTTGCGGAATACACCACGCCGCCGTTGACCCTGCAGGCTATTGACCGAGCAACCCAACGTTCCTACCAGCTCCCTCCGCAGGAATGTGTTAGTTATGTATTTGTATGGGTAGTCACTGCGACTTGATATTTTCCATAGGCATGGGGTCGCAACAAGATCAGGAGTTGGAAGAGTTGAGTTTTACCCCTAATACCTAATATCGTGGGGTTTTTAAACAGATTCTCAGGTTTCCTCCCACAAGTTAAACTCTGATTCTGCGTGGAGTAGGCCAAAATCCCAATGTACTGTAGGTCCTTCCATAAACGTAAAGATCATTTATTCCATCCACTATGTGGCCCACTACTTGGTAAATGCCCTCCTGCATGCCATGCTGGGCCATGAGAATCATTAAAACAAAATTTCTGTTTTTTTTTTACCCCAGTAAAATGTGTAACAGTCACCTTTAATTGCAGAAGAAAAATCATAAAAACTGTGCAAGATTTGTGAATCAAAATGTACTTTAATTGTAACAATTTACAGCAACACGGGAATACTATTGTTTTAACACCGTACTGTGCAGCGTTGTTAGGGATCATTACGTTGTAAACTGATACAGTCCATAAAATACATGTCCGTTCGTCTCTCCGTATAGTATTAAAATTACATTTCAATTCATTAAGCCTAGGGGCTTTACAAGACAATATTATACAGCATCATGTTTAAACAAGCAAATACTGTCACCGGTTTTGACCTTTTGCATTTGATCAGCATTTCAGGCCTGGAAGATATATTAAATTCCAACACTCAGGAACCGATGAGAAAAGTAAAAATAAAAAAAAACGGGATTTTTATTCATTTCCTTTGGGGAAAACAGCAGCAGAATCACGACAACCTACTCAGTCGAATAAGTTCAGTTCATTTATTAGGTACAGTAATCCCTGTGAGCCATTCGGCTCTTGAATCGGGTGCAACCGCAACAAACAAAAACATGAAGAAGAAACATCTTAAAGTGACTACGCACAACAGAAAAATCCAGGAAAAAACAGCAAAGTCTTCCAGAAAAAGCACCGTATATCAATGCTGTGTGCAAAAATCCCAGTGAGTCAAAGCAAAAATCCCAGTGAGTCAAACAATAACAATTCTGTTTTTTAGGATAACTGTATTAGTCTTTAAAGAACGTAAAGGTACTCGATTTAACGTAACTAGTTTACTACGATTTGACATCTGGAAGAGGCACTGGGTCACTGGTTGTAATTCGTGTTGAACAAGCTTTTAAATTTCGTCTGTGACTTGGCTTCAAACCGATACAGTACTTTCTAATATGAAATAGATCTCTCAAAAAGTAAATTTACTCTGGTAATGAGAGGTTTACATCGTTAACCGCAATGTTCCACAACGCATGAGCGAATTTGATTACTAGATTATATTTTAGTTGTCCAGGAAACCATCTCGGAGATGGGATTGCCCTTGCCAATGATTAATGACAATTAGGGAGAATGTAATTCAGTTCCACGTGTTGTTGGGGGCTTCTTGAGGAACTGAAGTAGCTCCCAGCACGTGGCACGAAACGTCGGACAATGTCAAACAGCACTCGATACACACTCGAAAATACATAGATCTACAAAACACAATATTACAGTATTGTACTATTTTAGGGTGAGTGGAGTTGAGTGGTGGGACATAGATGGGTGGGAAGGTGGCGTTTACAAACACGTTGTATATTTGGCCTGCACCCTCTATTTAAACACAAGGGGTGTTTACACATACACACGTTGTTGTTTGACACACACAAGTTACATACACACACGCTTCAAACACATACACGCAGCACCCACAGGGGCTGTTCTTAAACAAATTCTTACTATCAGGCACACGAGGCTGAATTAACACTCTACACACACTTTCTGCACGTACACATGTTCTGTGCAGAGGCTACACACACACGTTGCAGACACACACACACGTTGACAGACACACACTCATCACACACGTAATGTGCAGAGGCTACACACACACGTTGACAGACACACACCCATCACAAAACTGTGCAGAGGCTACACACACACACGTTGCACAGACACACACACATCACACACGTACTGTGCAGAGGCTACACACACACACGTTGCACAGACACACACCCATCACACACGCAATGTGCAGAGGCTGTACACACACACACACGTTGCACAGACACACACACATCACACACGTACTGTGCAGAGTCGACCTAGAGGAGGCACATCCAGAACCAATTCAGATAATATCATCACTGGTGTTGATTTACGTGAGCGGGAATCGCGAACCCGGGTCTCTCTACCGCTCCCCACATCCAATGCACACACTCACCACTTGTACTCACCATGTGTGTAGCACCCACACACATCCACACAGCTACCCAACCACACACTCACAACGTACACTCACCACGTGTGCAGCACCCACACACATACACACAGCTACCCAACCACACACTCACCACGTGTGCAGCATCCACACACATACACACAGCTACCCAACCACGTACACTCACCACGTACACTCACCACGTGTGCAGCACCCACACACATCCACACAGCTACCCAACCACGTACACTCACCACGTACACTCACCACGTGCTTAGCACACACACACATACACACAGCTACCCAACCACACACCACGTACACTCACCACGTGTGCAGCACCCACACACATCCACACACACACACATCCACACAGCGACCCAACCCGCGCAGGAAGCTGCACCCACGCACGCACGCGCACGGACCGTGGGGTGGGGGGGGGGCGTGCGCGTGCGCGTGGACGACGTGCGCGTGACACACGACGCCACGTGCAACAGAACCCGGAAGATGCACGCGGTGACGTTGGCATCACTCCCCCAACCCCACCACCACCACCAACAACAACAACACCACCACCACCAGCACCACCACCCCAGCTAGGCATTTCTCACTGCGCAGCTGTTCTCTCATCGTCTGCATTGCAGCGTCGTAATAACCTCGCCCAGAGCGCAAGCGAACTAACTCATAGCCAACAACCACTCCACAAACACGTCTCTCACTGCATGCCTAACTTAACACACAGCGTAAACACAGCAATACGTAGTTACACAACGCACCAGCGAGACGGTACATAGCAAGCACACACACACACATCAGCTCACAGAAGAAGCTAGACCACACACACCAGGGGCCATCGGTCATGATGGAACCCGCTGACATGAAGGCGGGCGTCTTGGACGACGTGGCAAAGAGGCAAGCGGACGAGAAGAAGCAACAACAACAGCAGGAACAGAATAAGAAGACGGAGAAGCATGAAGATGGGGAAGAGGTGGCACTCGATAGGGACGACACCCAAGCCGGGCAAGGCGGCGGTGGCTCTCGCCCGCCGGGGCCGGCGGTCGGGGTCACAGCGGCGGTGGGCGGTGGGGCCGACCCGGAGAATGCGGTGATTGATGAGAAGACCGTGCAGGACTACAGGCTTCGTAACTTCTTCGTCTTCAGGGTTGGTTGTCCTCTTGCAAGTTGCGTGTGTTCGATCGCAGTCGTTAATTGCGGTAATTGGTACTCTGTGAGCACGGTGGTCCACGCGTTTGCAGTGGTGCGCACGTGTCGTTAGCTAAAATCAACACATTTGTCAATAAAACTACCTTAAAAGGATATACTGTTATATGCCAGTTGTATACGTAACCTTTTAAGGCTCTGTTATTGACGAATATGGTGAGGATTTGTTTGTATATTTATATAAGGCGATCCATACTTAGACATCCAATCGGTTTCTAATGACACATTAACGTCGACGTAAAGCAAATCTAAAACTTTTATGTTGGACAACGTGTTTCAGCATAGTTTTAACGCTTTGCAACACGCGGTGTTTTTGTTTAAACTCTATTAAGTAATATCGATTTTTAACGGTTGCATCCGCGATAGGCGTACAGGAAGTAGTACGGGACCTAGGCCGCGATGAGACTACGGTGCTCGGATAGCGGCCCTACCGGGCAGGGCGCGCCTCGGCCGGCAGGGCGGAGAGGGCCAACCCCGGTCTCTTTATTGCTTATTTGAGTCCATAAAGTTGTAGGCAACACTTTTGATCAACAAAGCCGTTTTTCTAATAGGATATTTGCCTAATAGCAACTCGACTTTATACTGAAGTTTCTTCTTAATTTGGTTATCTTTACGCGAGTTAAATGTACTGTTTTTCTGGATAAATAATTTAAATGATTAAATACGAAAGTTCAACTGGTGGGTGCCCCTGTGCGGTTGTTGGGTGACATCGGTGGTGTGTTTGTATTAAATACCAACATTGTGGTGTTAAGTACAAAATACCGAATGTGTCATTAACACTACATTGTAACACAAGCATGCACTGTATACTGTGGGGCAAGCTGTTAACAGCCGCTCAGTCGTGTTGTAGGATTGTGCCGTATAATGAAATAACCACAAATTAGGCAACGTAACAGGAACCATCTGACACATCTTCCTAATTATTTTATTCTTTCGGTAAAGTCACGTAGGTGAAAAAAATCTAAAATAAATACAAGTAAATTGTGATTTAATTTACTTTTATTTATTTTTCATCCTACGTGACTTTACCGAAAGAACCGAAGAGTATGGATCATTGTAGTCACGAAAACTTCAAATCTAGAATGACATCTTCCTAATGCTGTACTTTAAGACGAATTAGTCGTGTCATTTTGAAGGGAATTATATAGAATGGTTCTGGACAGGGTGGCTTATTAATGGATTAAGTCACTCACGATAAATGGAATGCACCACCCCTACACCGTGGTTACTTTATGAACATTTCCATTTCTACTAATCCAAAAAAAGCAAGCAAAATATTTATATCTGAATTGCTGTAATACCCAAGCTATATGCCACTTGATCATGCTCGTGATTACCCACGCCTTTAAAGTGTCTGACTTGTAACCCAAGTTGAACCTCGACTTTTATTCACACATTGTTTGATGAATTTGTTCAGTTGTGTTGTTACTTATATTGACATAGCTATCGCTATGCTACCTCTCATCATACTTGTTACAATACAGTCGTATATTTAACCCTGCCTCTAACCATGGCAACACATCATCAGCCCTACCCATAACGTGTAACTTTAGCTTCATGTACATCTCACCCTTGCCACATCCATAACGGATATTCGTAACTTTACCACTCCTTCCGACATAATTATATCCAAAACGAGTTGGTTGAGTTTTATTCGTTGTTCATTATTGTGCAACACTGCCAGCGCATTATGACTAAATAAATACGTTTTTTTAAGCAACGCGATCACTAACCCTACATATAGCCAAAGTTTTCCCTAATCCTACCTGCAAAGTTATTCTTAACCCTACCTCTAACCATAACTACTCTTAACCATACTAATAGCAAACAGCTTTTGCCAACTTTCACCAGAACTATCCCTCACCCTAACTTTAGCCATAACTAGCTTCTCACCACAGGTAACATTAACCCTACCACGAACCATAGCTATTCCAAACCCTTATACTACCACTAGCATTGACAAAACACAACCCCTAAATAAACCTTTTAATATAACCCTTACCGTTATCGGTTCATCATATGCTCAACCCCATCTCAAGCCCTCGGCTGTGTTTACATTAATCGCACAATAAAGGACAGAATTCGTTTTTCTCTCCCCTTTGTTCACTTTAAAAGTTTGTTTAGTCGCAACCGTGCTGGCGAGGTCGTTATTTAGGTGTGGCTTGTGTTTGGGAAGCCAACATTTAAAGTTCTGGCCCCCAATGTGTTTTTAGCAACCAAACCCACAGCCTCACAAGAGACTCATTGCTTCATCGCGTCTGCCGCTGTGTATGTCGTGGCCGTAATACCGTCATCGTAAGCGCCCATCCGTATAATGTGATGTGATCATACTTAATTACTTTCCTTGGTTTTCTGGACAAGCTGTAATCACAAGATTCATTTGCGTGAGTTTTGCCTGCTTTGACCCAAACGTTGTGTGCTTTCTTGCATGTGAAAGGAAACCATGGTTCCTGTAGAAACCCACAATGACATTCTACTACACTGGTAGTAGGATACCACTGCATAGGTCGTGGTCTTCTGGCTGTCCTCGTTACAAATGCCACGACAGTGCTTCATTGCCCCATGGCCGACACCAGTGATGGATTATCTGAACTGGTCCTGAGCCTCCCCTAGGTCGACTCGGCCTCGAATGAGTACAAATGCGGTCGGGCGTGCTGTTGGCCACTCACCCCCTTGTGTGCTGTGCCAGCCTTCATCGGTGCTCGCTAACAGCACTTGCCCGAACAGTCTATTAAGGCTATATGGGGGATCTTTGTGTTGTCTTTTTGTATAACACATGCTCTAACACAATACGTTATCCACCAATCCCACTTCCAAGATGCTGGATTACAAATGTGCATCAACGCCACCACCACACTCAAAACATGTCTCTTAATAATTATCTTTTGTATGTTTTCTATCCACTTACCGATCTTATCTGCACTCTACAATGCATATTGTGCAATGCAGTTTGGATATAGTCCATGCTATTTACTCTCTTAATATCCTCTTATCTCTAATCCTATTCCAGTACTACACTGACAAATCCATTCCATTTAGTTAACGAGCACTTGATGAGATGGCTTTATTTTTTCCCCTCCCAACTGCATTGTTGCATATACTGGACTGCCTTCATCCTGCCGATATTCCAATGTCGTTTTGCATGCCCAGTGTTAAATAGGTAGAGCCAGCAGGTGAATGACAATGTCTGCCCTCCATAATACAGTTTTTTTTGGGTTAAATCTGATTTTAAATAACAATATAATTGAAAATATGGATTTGCTCTCCAACACACCGGTGTGCTGCACTAGTAACGAATTGGCATGTTCTGTTTACGTGACAAACCTTACTAGTTGGCTGTGTCGGGTCTTGGCGGGTTTAACGACATATTTACGGTGATTTAACCCAAAATAAACTGTTATGGATGATACAGGTAGGAACAACAGGTTCCACACTACCCGCCAGGGATTATTTGTCTGTCTTTCATGCATATTTGTCTGTCGTGCACGAATGCGCTGTCCAACCAAGTTCCTACCTGCCCACTCCGAAGGAACGTGTTATTGGTCGCGAAAGCCTACGTGTTAAAATGTCTGCCTTGATCATGTCATATTTCAGAAGATAAGCCGGGTTAAGCCTGGTAAGTTATTGGATGTTGTTGTTGGGAGGGTTGGGTTTTGAGATGGCTGTATTGTGACTCCCCTCTTACACATGGTGTTTCTCCAGTGTCATTAATTGCATTGGTTAAACATTCCAATGCAAGGACCCCTTCTAAAAAATGTAATGCAAGATTGAGTGTCAAAGATAGCCTTGAGACTAAGCAACCCTCTCCTGGGTAAAGCAGTCGAGGAAGAAAACATCACCGGTGTCGGTCGTATGTTCAAAAACGACCCTGACGATGCCTGCATTATATTTGGGGTTTGAGTGTTCTCTCTCCCCATGGTGATTGCATTGACATAACATAGTTTTATTAACCAAAGTTGTTTATTTATTAAATTCTAGAACTCATAAATATGTATGATCTCTTTTGCAGACGAGACCTGGCACGTTTGCAAAAGTATGATGCTTCATGAGTTAGTCACGTGTGGTGGGATAAAAGTATGGATACTTCCACCCCTTTCAAAACGTCAGGCCATCATGAAAGAGTGGAGGCCCGTCCCCCGCTGCAGGCGTGAGAAAGCCATTGCAGAGCTGCACGCTTGTCTTACCTTATGATGCCTCCCGATCTCGTGATTTTGTTTTTGTGTTGCAACATTTGCAGTGCTTACATAAACTCAAACCTGTGGGGTCTGAACAACGATGTCGCAATTCGACGAGGTGGAGTATGCTGTGAACAGCAATCGGCAGGCAGGTTGTGGGTGACATCACCCCCCCACAACGCCCACTTATCAGTCACGCAGTCCACAGGATCATTAAAATAATATATAGTGACAGCTTCCAGGGCTAGTTTGAATAGTGCCAGGACACTCTTTAAATAGTCGTGGTTGAAGTTAAACACGTGTGGTGTCACTTAAGCAAATTTAGCTGCCCACAAGTTTCACCTACTTTGATGAATAGCAAACATGATTTACAGTAAATTTAACAGTAAGCCTTCGTGACCGATAGGATTTGCGATTGATTTTTATTTATTCTTTGGTTCTTTCGGTTAAGTCACGTCTAAAGATAGACGTGACTTAACCGAAAGAACCAAAGAATAATTCCTGCAGTCACGAAAGCTCCATAATTAAGATTGATTTTTATTTCCGGCTGCGTAATTTTACTGACCTGATCTGACACAAAACCAATAAAACATCAGGATTTACAGCACAACTATTCGAATCCCATGCTGGTATTGGAAGAACTGTGGTGTGGATCCTATTACCGATGTTCGTACGCACATTTCACTGCTCTTGCACGCGTGAAGAAGCATGGATAAGCCCAAATGGGTCAAGGTGCAGCCTTGCTATTTCTTACTCATTCCACTGATTGTGGAAGGGCCTCCAGTAGGTGTGACAATATCCCAGTGACACATCCGAATGAGGCAATAAATATGCAATGTTTCTGTTAGTCATGTCATAAGATAACCAAATGCCCATTCAGAACTCTTGCTAGAAAGTGCACCACTGTGTCAGAGAATGGCCTCTGCTTCTGAAGCCGTTTCTCACTAGGCCTCATATTATTCACGACGTTCTCATTATTTCTATGCCCTGCAAGGAGCGTTGGCCACATGGCAAACACACCAAATTGTTTTAACTCTCAATTCTAGAATAAACACAATAAAGGAAAATAATTATTTATTATGATGGTAATTTTTGTACATCAACTGGTTCTACTTGAGAACCTAGTTTAATACACGAGGTGTTGCCCAAATTTAATTAAAAGCCTTCAGCAATGCTGGATTATATCTCTGACATGGCATTAGCACCCTGAGCCACCTGGCCAATTGCTAAGTAAAGGATAATTTTTAATTCTTAACGCCAGAACAAGTCGAACAAAGGCCAAATCTTATATTTCATATTCTTTCTGCAGGCGTTGGTGACCTGGCTGACATTACAACTTGTTGCACCTGAAAACCTGAATTATATCACTGGGTTTAAACCCAGAACCTCGGCAGTGATCTTGGTGTTTTATCCTGGTATTGAATGGCTGCATCATTAACACATTCCTGCGGACAGAGCTGGTAGGAACGTTGGGTTGCTCGGTCAATGGCCAGGGTCAACAGCGGAGTGGTGTATTCCGCAAATATGCCCGACTGTGAGGGCGGGCACAAGCCGGCGTGAGTAGGTTAAACGTTGAGTTTTATAAGGGCACCACGGGGTGACCAGCCCCTCTCCACCCAGCCCCACCCGCCCCACCCAGCCCCACCCTCCCCACCCAGCCCCTCCCCACCCTCCCCATCCAGCCCCTCCCCACCCAGCCCCTCCCTGCACGACGGACACAACAATCCCCTGTGGGCTGGTGTAACCAGGAGGTTCCTACCAGTATTATTATTAATGGCTGCACCATTATTAACTTGAAAGTCTGGGCTAGATTAATCGAGTGAAGTCTCTAACAATATCTGCCTTGCTGTAGTGGAGGCACAAGTTGTCGAATTAAGGATGGATTTCATAAACATTTGTTGTGTAGACAAAGCGCCCAGTCAGACAGTGAAGACACCCGACACTCCCAAGTGTGTGTCTAATGGGGGGCACTTGTAAGGGGATGCTGTTCCATGCACATCGCCCCATGCATGTCAACCGCCAAGGACAATGCCAAGGATACAGCCATCAATGCATTACCATTCGGCAAGCGGCCTATATTTGCCCGTAACATTGAAACTAATTATTTAGAGATGCTACGTTGGCACTGGTGCACGGTCCAATTAACAAACAACACTACCTTAAAAGGAAACATAAAAGATGACGTTTCTAGCAATGACCCTTCTTCATAGCACAAGTACATATACATTTCCCTCGCGCACATTCCATGGCTGTGGCTCTCCGATGTGTTTTTGGGCTGTATCGCGTGTTGTTCAGCCTGTCCAACGATTCGCTCCGTGCGCTGGGGGGAGCTTCTTCAGTCTTCACGTTTCACTCCGCGAAATGTCCGATTGGAGCTTCGGTACTCGGCACGTGGCGCGAAACGTCGGCCATCACGCCGAACAACACTCGGCACGACTCGAGAACACATTGCAGAGCTGTGCAACACAACCGTACAAAACTACGCAGTCGAGGCGCACTTGCTGCCCACGATTTTTCCACCCAGCCGGGCCGCTTTTCATCTAAATTCTTGAACCTGTTGATGAGTCTTAATTGAGGAGCTGTCGCATCAACAATAGTGCATATAAATGGACCCCCCCCATTAGTGGGGGTTTCATTTTAGATGGTTTGTGTCATACGATATTTTATTTCTGTTCCTCAAGATGTTGTGCATGGGAGGTTCGGTATAAATAATAAATGATAATTATTTGCGACTCTTCTTGTCCTGCTATCGTTTACAATACAATTTGGATTTATTACGATTTAAATAAAAACTCTTTTTACAATGGCAACTTTCTCATCGAATCTTGGAAGCTAAGCAGGCTTGGGCCTAGTAAGCTTTTGGATGGGTGACCACCAGGGCTTGCCAGGTGTTGTAGGCTTTGGCTGTGAGGTGTTCGCAGCAGTTGGCAGTGCTGAATGTCTCCACCTCGTGTGTCTGGTCTTGAATCGTGAGGCTCGGTGAGGCTTTCCTGGATAAATAATTGATAGTGTTTAGGCCGCAGCATTGGTAGGAAATCAATAGTGGTCGTCAACAAGGCGCCGACATTACTCCAGGGTCGATTATAATATGAGGGAATGGTTCTTGCCATAGGAGCATGGAATTAACACCACTAGTTATGGACCACAAACCGACACAATGCATCACCTAATACAAATACGAGCATGTAACAATTCATCCCCTGAGCAGTTTAATTATTGTCATGGTTCACGGTTGTGGTTTGATTCAAGAAGCATCATTTTAATCTCGTTTGGAAATATATATTTTTCCATTTGTTCTGCCTCATTTGTCCAGCAGGCGCACATGCCAAGCTTACATTATCTTAACCAATGAATTGTTTGCTCGCCCAATTATTGGTGCATGTCGGGTACTTGTGTGTGACCTATGTGGCACCGTGGAAACGTAATACACACGTGCCCCTCCTTGAGAATGTGTGCGGTGGCTGTGGTGACTCGGAGCGAGGACCACACTTTTAATCTGTAAATGCAGTGTAACCCACCAGGGCAAACACGATTTGCATGTACTGTACTCCAAAATCGGGCATCGGCAATGCCACGCTCATGCTTGGGAAATTCGTGCGCTGGGAGGCGATGGTCTTGCACTGTGAATGTAAAGTTTGGTGTAGCAGTGGTGTGTGCAATACTTTTTGTTCCAATTCTAACACCTTCTGTAAAACAGTCACGAAACACTCTCTCGCACCTCAGATTAGCAAGGTTGGCCACGTACGGTGCGAAAGAAGCGCATAGGTACATGCATAAACCCCTCAGACATAACGGTTTGTGCAGGATGGTATCAAATTAAAATAATTACACGCGGAAAAGCTCATTTATGGACAAGAGGCAAGATTGTGACCATGGGATCGGTCTTCTCATTCATGTCTTGCATGTCACATCACCAAACAGCCGCTTGTTTACGCCAGGAGGGATTATTCACATCAAGCCCCTGAGGTACAAGGCAGCAATAGGCAGTGATGGCTAAACTGTGGGGATGATTCATAACAAGGATGAAAACCGTAATACAGTCAACTCATTGTCCTGCGACTGTTCAAAATGAATTTGGCCATATTCTTGACTCGCTTTAGCTGGAAGGTCTAAAACAAGGCTGTGTGCATTATACACGCAGTATGGTGATGACACGTCGCGTGATAGTGCCACCTGACATGACGGGACGACCGATGCTACGATCTCAATCGAGCTTTAGGCTGTCCATAAATCACCGGTGTGCAATGCATGTATGTGCTCCTGCGTATCATACGTCAGTTACTATCAATTGTTAAGTTATCGCGATATGTTGACCTAATTGTGCGTGTGTAAGAATCGATGTTTACGATCTGTGTATTTTGTGCAATTGTGTGTAATTGTATGTATGTTGGACTTTGCACCGTACGAAGCCAACCACGATTCGTAGGTGACCCCTGCAGCCACTAGTGGCCGCTACATTCACCAGTGTTAAAATAATAAATTATTGATTCGAATCGGGAGAGTTAATGGAATCACTAGGCAGGAGTGTTGGTTCTTCCCTATTGTATACATCTAGTATGTTATATATAATGCAACTTGATCTCTTTATAGCTTATATTTGTCTTCATTCGTGTACAGCACAGTGTTTCCATCAGAGGTTTTTTGGGTTAGATCACGTAAATATTCGTGTGTCGTTAAACCCGCCACTACCCGACACAACCAATTAGTAAGGTTTGTCAATTAAACAAAACATGCCAATCCGTTACTAGTTCAGCACACCGTTGTGTGTTGGAGAGCAAACTCACAACATTGATCATTTGAGTGACGTTTCACCGGTAATTACAACCAGCCTCGTCAGGCGACAGCCAGATTTGTTAATAAGCCTATGTGTTAATTTTGGTCGCGAAAGCCTCCGTGTTAAATCACGGTGTTTGTAACTCAGCACGTTATATAACAATAATAACATGTACTCTGTCGTAAAGAATATTTTAAAAGTTTCAAATGTTGTAGATTAATATATTCACGAAACATACGTTTGGGTTGCTTTTTGTCTACTTCGCAGCCTGGAGCATTCGAGCAAGCAGTGAACGACATCAAAGTATCCGTCTTGCACACCGTGGATGACGGGGAGATACAAAGCGTCTGGCTCCTGGCAGAGTGAGTTCAACACCAGACTTCACTTTAGCTCCCCTGCTTTCTTTTCCACTGCACAACTGACCCATGCCAGGGCCGTACTAACGCCGGCCCCGGCGTGGCTTCAGAGGTCCTCGGGTTGTTTTTCTACTGCAGATGCCGAGCCGTACCTCTAATGTCACGCACAATGTATGTGTGTCTATTGAACTTTTTTAGCACCGTACGTAGCCAACCGCGCTAATCAGAGGTGCGTGGGAAGGGCAACAAACTAACACACAATAAGCAGTTTTAAAGAAATGAGTTTTCAATCTAGACGACTTAAAAGTGCATATTTCCAGTGGCTTCCTAATATCGGAAAGAAGAGCGTTCCAGACGGCCTCAGAAGCGCATTCAAAACGCGCAATGCGGTAACAGTATTTTTTCGATGGCTAACCAAAAGCCGCCACTGCGAGAATGACCGCAGTTTGCGTTTATATTCCTTGACGAGATCGTCAAGGTATTGTGGTTCAAAATGTGAGTGATGACAGCTTCACACGCTCAAATTTGCTAACGCACGCAACTTGACTAAAATCGTGAATCCTATCCCTGGCCTAACTTGACCATGAACCAGATGCAGATGTCTTGTGAGGCCAGAGTTTCCCTGGTTTGGATTTGGCTCGGCTCACAGTACGGGTGGAAAACCAACAACCGTACGGTGGAAAACCACCCGTACTGTGAGGGTCCCGATGCTGGTGAGGCTCTGATGTGTCGGTGGAAACGGAGTTTCTCTTCGTCCTCACCACTGTCCACTTTGGGCTTGGCGCAATGTACATTTTCACAGTACGATTCGTTATCGAGGTTCGCGATCGGACAATTATCATAATGTCAGTTTCCAATAACTTTGTACGTGCATTTTTATCGTATTGTACTGGTGCTTTGCTGCACCTCCATGAATAAAGACTTACTTTGAAGTCCTTTAACTGCAAATTACTCAACATAGTCGATTAATCATTACCATTTCTATAATCAGTAATGCTTATAATGCATATTCTGTTACGAAAGAAACGTGCCGATAAAAAAAGTGATAATGGCTAAGCCCTTGGCAAATGCGATGTCACTTGCCATGGGCTAGCCCGCAATGACATCATGTATCACGCTTCAAGTGTGCACCTCCGCTCCCGACGACGTCATTGCGCGTGATGTCATTACTATCGCACATTAATGACTAACGTGGACAAACTCATATCGCCGAGCATTTGCAGAAATCCAAAGCGTTCGCAGATTTTTCTTCCGTTTAAGATGTTTTTGTTCTGCACCTGCAGGGTGGACCACTGGAACAACGAGCGCTGAGCGGATCGTGTGCCTGTCCGAGCGCTCTCTGCTCATCGTCAAGTACGACTTCGTGACGCTGCGCTGCGAGAGTGCACGGCGCGTGCCGCTCAACTTCATCGACACCATCTCGTTCGGAGAGTTCGCCTTCCCACCCAAGTCCCTGCTCAAGTAGGTGGCGCTCGCTCAACTCACTCGTTCACCCCAAAACTTAATCGCTCGCCCCAACACTCGGTCGCTCGCATTGAACACCAGACTGTTCGCTCGCTCACCCCAATGCTCGATCCCCCGCCCCAACGCTCAAGCGTTCACTCACTCGCTCTTTCCAACATTGGATGCAGCCAGCCATTGGATGCAGCCAGCAATGAAGAAGACAGTTGAGCAATGCTTCCCATGAGCAGAACACCTGGCCACCTGGGCCTGTCCCATCGCCTCCTGCCAGCGCTTCCATGACACTTCACGTGTCCGGAGAATACTCCCTTACCCTGACAAAAACAACGGCATGGTGACGTCACCGCCATTTAGTGGCGAATGGCAGTTGATGTGCATGTATATATGTTTATATATTTGCGTACATGTGTGCGTATGTGCTTTTACTCTCACGATTGTAGCCGAGAGGGCCACGGATTACGTGTGCACTGGGACAAGCTCCGCGAGCCGACTTTCCTGTCCCGCTGGAACCCGTGGTCAACGGAGCTGCCCTACACAACCTTCACGCACCACATCATGGCCCACGCCGATCCCAACATGGCTCCTGTCTGCCAGGTAATGTCCAGCTGACGACGGACTGCGGGTTGCGCATGGGATCCCGATGGAAGGCGTTCTGTCCAGAAAGCTTCGAGAACACCGACCAGACTGTAGACCGCACAGCAGTGAACCATCGTGACCAAATCAGAAATTTCAGCAGAGGCATGGAAGCCATCCATCGCGCATCAACGGAAGCCGTTTTGTAGCGAACTCATCTGTATACAGGAGAAGCTGGATGCGAGCACAACAGTTCTGATATTAGCAACTCGGCAACTCATCCGTATGTGACACAGGTGGGGTGAAAGGCACCTTCTGATGGAAGCGCACTTTGGATATGAGCACAGCTGGCCTTGCTCATATAGATAGGAGCACAGCCAGCCAGATGCTTGTATCCAATTTATACTGTGTACTCTTCATAGACACACGCAAGTTGAATATTAATTCTACAACTAGGGCTAGGACATTACAGTGTAATCATGGGTTATGTTTAATATACACAAGTACTGTATGTTTTCAAAGGCTGTCAAATATTAGCCAGCAGTTCAAACTGCACGGTTGAAATGTTTTGGCAGAAATTCTTCTGACGATGTCATCGTCACAAAGCTAAACATGCAGAGTTTAAAAGTGGTATTCGCTCGAATCGAAAATTACAAAGATTGCTTGGCTTAACACTAACATGATCACAGAGGATTTTGCACTGGTATAATGTTTATAATGCAGAGCGAACTGTGAAATAATCACTTACTGGCAGGCCCTCCACGTCTAGATGTCATTAATGCATTAGCTCTCCATGTCTGTCCGTCCATATATATAACATGTAAAATCAAAGTCTAGACCAAAACTTGGTGACAGAAACCAGGAAAAAAAGGACAATTTACAAAATGCTTTTGCACATGACAACTCCCCGTTACTGGCTGTTGCTAATTAAATGCTTTCCGCCAACAAACGAATATTGGGGAAAGTATTCCATAAAATCCACACTTATGCAGAATTATTCTTCCTTGTTAGTGCTGACCACAGCAGTGATCTTACACACTTGCATGTTTTCTGTTCCCTCTCTGCATCACACTCCCCACGTGGTGCACACGTGCTCAGCTGGAGAAATTCCGCGAGGCGCTGATCGAGGCTACCAAGCGAGCTCACACAGCCAACCCCATCCCAGGTCGTGCCAACGGTGTGCTCGTGCTAGAAAAGCCGGTGCTTATCGAGGCAGTTGTGGGCCTCATGTCGACCATCAACAACCAGAGCCGCCTCGGCTACTGCCTGGCACGTGGCAGCGTGGGCTTTTAAGGCTGGCGGATTGGCTGGGATGCGGCCGCCCCTTCCGTGCTTGCTCCTGGATCTCCACCTGTCCTGGTTTCCCAAGATTGTCCTCGTTATACAAGGTGCCTGTCCTGGGGAAATCTGCACATCTTCCCAGGACACAAACACCCCTTTTCCACTGGCACATCAGGGCTGTGTCATTCGACGCGTTGATGAGGCAGGCCATTGCGGCTGAGGAAGCGCCAGGTTGCTTTTCGCCTGCAGAAGCAGAGCTGTGTCCCTGACGTAACACACAATGTGTGATGTTGTGCCACAGTCCTCGGTGTACCATTAATGGCACACGCAATTAACACATTATTAGCCCAGGCTCTGCTTAGCCCCAAGCAAGATGCTGTTGTCTTGAGGCCAGTTTCAGCATTTGGTTCTAGGCTCAGCCTGGTAAATGGCCAATGGAAAACCACCCATACTGCCATGGCTTGGATGTGCCAGTGGAAATGGGGTATTAAAGGCTCAGTTTGTGAATTACGTAACAAATCACCACTTGAGACAATGAATTTGTGTATTTTTCCCCTCTTGAGAGGTATTCTTCTTGCCATGTCCCTGATTTTTTGTACTTCATTAGGTGGCAACCCTAGCACGTGTGCAACACATATGGGTGTCAATACACATTACTGGGTGGGTAGGTGGGATCACCACTCTACAGATTAGCACCTTGCCAATAGTCTGAATGTTTACCATTTTCTCATAACCTCCCTGTTGTGATGTCTAGATTTACCGACGCGAACTGAAAAATGACCTTTGGGAAAAACAGTGCAAATCACTTGCAAATGTTGCATTGCAGAACTAATTTGTACAAGGTTTTACTCATACAAGACTACAGTTATATGAAGGGCGAGGGGGGGGGGGGCTTTGATTAAATCAATGGTGTAGCTACACTGGGGTCCTATGAGACAGGTCCCAGGCAATGAGGGGAAATTAGATGGGCACCCCACCACCCATTACATTCCTTTAGGCAAGGTCCCTATGCCACCCACGGTACACCACTGGGTGGCTGAAGATATGGGTTTTAGAGATTGCTGAAGTGAAGCCATTGCATCTGGTGGTGGGTCTATCAGTGTATGGTACACTCTGGACCTGCCAATAACTTACCAGCAGTGTCAAGTTCGACCTCTGTGGAGGCAGCTGGTGAAGGATGCTCCTGGGCAGTTGGAGGCAGATGCCTTCCACCAAGGGAGGGCAGAGTGGTACTTACAAGATGAGCAGAGTGACTAAAAACAGTTAGCATAGTAGGGGGCACAGATGGTGCATTGGCCAGTCAACCCATGGCACCTAAAGTGCATATAGCCTGGCACAAGCAGCGTGGTGACATCCCCCCCACTTTGTGGCAAATGACAGTTGTTGGTACTGTGGAATACTCACATGCCCCATCTCACCAATGCAGGCCCTCATGGACCCAGGTCGATCTCACTTTTACAACAAATTGCTGAAGCTTTGTATTAAGGTGTTGCATGTAAAAAAATGCTTTCTTGTCTTGTAAAGTGGCCAATTCCATGCCACGTGGCCTTAAATTCTCTTAGTGCTTTAGTTTTTTTTGCCAAATAAAGTTGGTCACAGGGCCTAGTGGGCTGGACAGGAGAAGCCTTTGAGAGTGTGCCTTTTAGTTACCCACTTGACACTTAATCTTTCACCTATATTTCTCCACTTTTAATTTAAGGTAAAAATCTACCTGCAATTTCACACTTGTACTTTTTGGGTTTTGAAGACATTCTGAACAGATGGGTTGGTATTAAAAGCTTTGTTAGTCACAAATAATGAAAGGGTAATCATGCAAGTATTGTTAAGAGCTGTGGTTGGATGTTTTTAAATGCCGATTGTTTAATTTGTTTGCAAATCAAAGTAGTTAACTGTACTTGGTAGATGTTCCACAGCTTGTTATAGTGTCCTTAATTTCCCTGTAAATTTGGTGTATTTAAAAAAATCGTGTTTGAGTTAATGTCTTTATTACAAATTCCCCACCTGCCACACCCATATTGTATTTACCATCTTAAAGCTTATGTAAAACAAGTGTATAACTTTAGCATAGGTTATGTTAAGATGTATCAATTTATCTTGGAGATACAGGCATCAGGCTGCAGGTGTGCAAACAAAATGGTTTCAGCAAGTGCATTGTGCTGTGAAGCTAGCATGGAGTGTTAGTCCACCTGTCGCCCGGATTCTGGCACAGAAACCAGTCCTGGATATCTCCAAAGATACTCAACCAGCATCAAAGTATGCTTAAAAATAACCCTGTTCATCCAGTAGTAAGTTTACAATGGGCAAGTATGTTGCATGCAGTTGGCACTATTCCATTGTAACCATTAAGTATCTAACAAGATCGCAATGGTTCTTGAAAGATCTAAACTATTACATTTGTTAATGGGGCAGCTCGTTACCTAGCCAAAAAGGTGGCATTGCATTTAAAACTCGTGCTGCCGCCACCACCTATTAAGTGGGTCCAAGACAGTGAGTGGTCTGAGAAGTAATATCCTTGCATTAAAATCAGTGGGTGGCAATTAGCCCATGTGTGGGCCCAGCTCACTTGGAAGGGATCAATTATTGATTCAATATACACTTCCATGGGCCATCCTCCAAAAACAAAGGGTTGCACTGCTGTGAAAGTTCCAAATAGCTAGTTTCTCTTGACATACGATGTCAGGATAAGTTTAGGGGGGGGGGGGGGGGTACCAAAAGAACCCAATAATCACTCTGGGCTGCTGGATACTGCGGGTGTTATACCAATGCCTACACTTGGTGTTTTATGTGCACTATGGGGAGTGTTCTTTGCAGCCAAACATTGCACGAGTTGTACCTATTTTACAAACAATAAATTGAAATGTAATTGCATGGCTGTCTGTTCAACTGTAAAAAAGGCAAAGGAAGCCATCACAGCACGACTTGAAATGAAGCAGATCCAAGGGTGCAATATAAACCACTTAAGTGTCCAGCACGGACCTGCGTTTTCAGTTGGCTATTTGCAAAGCAACGCCAGAATAGGTATGCTTTGCTGGCCTTCAGACATGAATCTGGCTCGACAGCCCAAGCAGTGTCAGTCTTAACATCTTTGTCCATTGCGTGGCATGTTAGCAGCACTGCTTTGTGTTAAAAAATAAAACAAGATAGTCGTCACTTTCGGAATTTATTCAAGAACATGCAACGCACAAGGGATTTTTTTTTTTTTAGCAAGCATAGCAGCAGACACCGCACAGCAGTGCCTACACGTTCATAGTGTTCAACCGCACATGGCCTCCCTCTTCCACGTGCCCCGGCGGCCACGGCACAGCAGCTTGGCTACCAACGCGACGGCGATCGAGACGGCGAGGACGGAGCAGGTGGCAGCCAAGAGCCCCGGGACCCACACGCCACCTTTTGGGGGTGGGGCGGCAAAAATGCACCAGGTACAAAATCAGTACTACCTCACATGGCTGCGAATCCCCATGCCTAATACCTGGTCTTACCAGCGATCTTGACGAGACTGAGGAATTATGCCCTTGCGTGCAGATCACCGCAGTGGCATGACTTAGGTGGTAGGGTGTTCGCCATTTGTAGCAAAAGCCATCTTCAAATTTAGCAGGTGCACTAAATGCGGGGGGGGGGGGGGTAGATTTATCCTAATTACACAGCATCTGGTGGCAGCAGTCCAAATTTTACAAGTGTTCTAAACTGAAAAAACAAACCTTAGGATACTGAAAACGGTCAAACTTGAAACAAGCATACAATTTGCGTGCCCAAGGCAGGGGGCGGAGGGGAGATGCATGCGTGTATTCATGCAAAAGGCAACCGAGTAAATGTTTCTACATTTGAACCTTATGGCGGGACCCCGGGGTCGAATGAACGGAAGTCAAAATGGTAATTACATTTTTTGGCTACTGTCCTGTGCACAAACGCCACAACCCACCAGAAATCAATTTTTTTTCTTCACCAAGCACCCGTCGTTGCCAAAATTGCCATAGACAAAAACCCATTAGCACTGTGTAGAGCTCGTCAGAGGAATAGACTGCCGTATCGTTCGCCTTCAGACACAAGCCGTCGCAACGCAGTTTATGCAAGAGCCGGGGGCTGATGGGACCTTGGGGTCCCGCCATAAACGGTTCATTTGTGCCGCGTCAATTGAACAGCTGAAAACCCAGCAAAGCTTTATGTGCACAAGGTCAGCCTCGGCCTATGATAACATCTACCCTGGGAGAAAAATGGCCTGGGAAAATTAAGGAAGGAGAATGCCACGATGGGATAGAGGGTTCAGAAGCATTGGAGCTGAAGTAAGTGGGCATGCAATGATGGAACAAACCGTGCCAAATTGTGCGAACGCTTGAAAAGCAGACCAGAAATGGAATCCAATTTCACCGTTTAATAAAAGCACTTCCATTTATAATTAACTTAGTCCGTGCCCTTACCAAGATTCTGCACAGGTGAGACACGCACCTGCAGAGACTGATGGATGCGATTTTGAGGCATCGGTGGTGAAAACGATGGGTCCAGCCAGGCTGACAACGTGGGTCCTTCCGTTTTCAACGGCCTGGTTGATGTCTCTACCTAAAAATACACGGTGGGTAAAAAAAAAGTTACTTGAATGTTTAGTATACATTCATGTCGAATGTTTCATTTTGGTGTAACACATTGAATTCAGACGAGACCACCTGGCCCTGGGGTCCCCAGTAATAATTTGGACACGTAAATCGTGTATAGCAAGAGTTACTTACAGCAGGAGTTCGGGCACACGTGGGGGTTACACTTTTAAGCCACATGGGTGCAAAACACACCTTTTAAAAAACACATGCGTAATGATAAATTTATCAAACTCCAAAAATACTTCTGGGTCAAGGCCCATCCCAGATCCTTTTAGGTTCAGCATTTAAAAAAAACTGTCTGCAGACGTGCCACACAGCTCCATTAGAACTGCTTCGTGTTTACTTTGTTGATCTTTTCCCAAAACTTCAATTAGCACGGTTGGCTACGTACGGCGCAGTGAAAACAGTTTTCACTGCCGAGGGCAACTCACGGGTGCGTCGTGTCGACGGGGAGCAGCTGCTCAGTCCTGCACTGCGGCAGATCGGCCGAGTTGGAGTCGCACACCGTGGCGCTGCAGTGGAAGTAGAGCTGAGAGCAACAAAGAGGATAAATGATGCACATGCAGGACTACGTAACGCCTTTGCAAGAGACGGTCTTCGGGATGAAATTTTATTAGCAGTATGGAAGCCAACTGCTGTTGCACTAAAGGGAGTTCTAACATTTGGAAAGGTCCTTGGTACGGGGCAATTGTTCAGTTGTGTAGGGCAAGTCCCATAAAAACCACAACTGCACGTTAAAGTTGATTTGTATTGGATAGTACTTATGAGCATTGGTGCCCCACCCCCATCTCGTTAGGAGGGCACACCACTGTTAGGAGTGGCGTGCATCAAGGGCCGTACCGTATCGCGCAGGGCTCCAAGTGGCGCTGGGTCGGCGAACACGAAGGTCTTCACCTCGAAGCGCTTGAACCTCAGGGGCAGCGGCACCGAGGCGGGGCTCACGGCGTGGACGGTGGTCAGGTAGTTGTCGCCGGAGAACGGGCACCTGCCCCGCGGCCAGAGGAGAGGCACTCAGCCAGAGGGACACGCGTGGGGCATTGAATAAACAGGGACAAAGAAGCCGACCAATGTACGATGCCACCTCCAATAGAATACATTGCGAGCGGCTATATGGATCAATATGCCACCGACAGATTCAACCCTCCTGTTGGACATTGATGAATGTTTGCCTGCCCATAACCACTGGTCAGTGCATATGGTGAAAGCAGAGGGCCCAGGACCAGGTTAGGATGTTGCGACACATTCCGTATTAGATATCACAGCAGCAACAGGCGCATGCTCGATACTCTACGCATCGTGTACGAGAGCAGCAATCGCACACGCGTGGCAAGCCGTATAGCAGCAGTAGCCGCCTGCGTTCACAAGGGGGCAGCGCACCCGGACACGAGCAGGTCCCACTGGGGCAGCGAGTTGGGGTCGGGCTGAGTCGTGGCCCAGCAGTCGGCGAGACGCAGCTCCAGCACGGGGTCGGGGTGCGCCAGAAGCTGCACCTGCTCAGGTCACAGCCCCGGGGCGAGACGGTTGCATTGTGGGTCAAGAGAGGGCCCAAGACGCCTGCAGCCATCGTTGAGATGGCAGCCTTCTTCTGGGTTCGTGCAGAGAGCGGTCATGGGGCTCAGTCGGATTACCAGTTTTTGCGACCAACTATTTAGGAAACCTGGCAAATCACTTTCCACTGCGATAAATTAATTTCAGGTCAAATTTAAAACTTGAAAAAGTCTATGCAGGGCGTTTATATATACGTAAATAAACTCCCATTGCATGAAATGTTTAAAAAAATAACGTTGTGCCCATTCTAACAGGAGGTTGTGCTGCTTGTTGCATGGGTCATGTGATACGGTGGCCAAGCAAATAAACGTTAAGAGACCATAAAATCGATCAACAGGCCAGGATGTATTGACACAAGTGGAAATATAATACCCTATTATGCAGCATTAGCAGTTCTAAACAAGCATTTTGGGTTTCATGCCAGGCATCACGATCTAAATCTTTCATCGGGTCAAGAGAGGGCCAAGGCTCCTGCAGTCATTGTTGAAATGGCGCCTTCTGGGTCTGTGTGTAGAGCACTCATGGGGCTTAGCAAGGTCACCAGTTATGCCATAAACTCAATTACATTTGGTGACGTGCTAATCACTTAAAAAAACCACATTTCAGATGAAATTAAACTTTAACTGCATGCAGGACATACGACCGTTGTAAATAAATGCCCATGGCATAAAATTATTTTTTTAAGTTGTGCCCATTCCAACAGGAGGTTGCACTGCTCACTGGGTGGGTCACGTGACCGTGCCAGGCAAAGAAAATGTGTTAACAGATCATGAAATGGATCAATAGGCAAAGATGTATCGTTCACACGAGTGATATCATACAATGCAGCATGAACAGATGTAACAAGTACGCTTGGTTCCATGCAATGCATCACGATTTAGACCTTTAGGCAGGGGGTCATCACCTGGACGAACAGCGGCTCCCTCAGGAAGCGCACGAGCGGGTAGTCAGCGGCGACATAGGGAGCGACGTAGTCAACATCTGAGAGGGGAAAGGAAAAATCAAAACGGCATGGAAAGTGTCCGACGAAGCTGCAACCTCAAAATGTTATGGTAGTTGTTCGAACCGATGCCTAGACTGGAAGTTACCCTTGGGATCGCCTGAAAATTGGTTCAGAACAGGCTGGAAATTTTCAAGATTTCTCAAATAACCCACCAGCACAAGCTGCCCATGTACCTAGACTGTCCTATGGAATGGTGCACAGGAAACAAAGGCCGTGATCGTAGCAGTCACTCGATGCATACCTCATTACTGCCCATGCCCTGGTGTAGATGGGGGAAGATGCCATCGAATGAAAGTGGAGCATGTAGTGGCAGTGAGAATCGTGGAGAGTGCTCACCAGGGAACATGGTGAGCTCGATGACCAGGGGCCCGGTGCCGTTCGCAGGGCTGGGTGGAGACAGCGTGGGAACAGTCACGCCCAGCATCAGCAAGTCGTCCCCAGAGAACTCGCAGGTGATCTTCATTCTGGAGGGAGCAGAAAGTGGCAAAGTTTGGTTCGACGCAGATTATTTATCCGACAGTCTCGTGTAGACACGTTGAGGGGGCCATCACACCAGCGTGTCAAAAGGAGTCTTCTACCAAAACTGTCCAATAACACTTTTCAAAATGTGAAAACCAGGCATTGCCACCACGTGGTTCTCGCAGCGTGTAAACAAGGGCAGCAGCGGGCACCTGTACTCGCTGCTGCGGGAGATGATCACGTGGATGGAGTCGCGCATCAGAGACACG